GTCCATTTACCATTTACCATGTCCTGACGAAAATGAATAATAAACTGCTCTGTTCACATGAGGCCAAAACATTCTCCAAAGATGTTATAACCATTTAATATTTCTAGTGATTGCTGCCTTTGACGAAGACCATTTCCCACAAGCCCTTGACATTGTTGGGCTGAACTTCACGTCCAAGAAGGAAGCAAGTCTATCAGAGGAGTGAACATTGTCAACACTGTTTCTAAAACAGCATAGATAACAACTAGAAGGTTGGAAAAATTATTTAGAAGAGAGCATTGGTAAGTTTTATGGATACGAATGAAACCAAGTGATGATAACAGGAGTACCCAAGCTGGACTTGTGAGATCCCAAAATCGTTTCATTCCCTCTCTCCCCTTTCATTTTTCAGCTGTGCTATCCAATAAAAGCAAAGAAAGCCCTATTACAACCTGAAAGTCTTTAGGTGAGTGAGTGAGTGAGTGCATATATGCACACACACTCACGCACACACTCGGGCACACACACGTTTATATAATATGCATGTGATACAAGAATTTACTATACAGGAAGAAAGCAGCAGTGACTGATCATAGATTTATGGTTTGCCAGCAACAACGTCAAAGCAATAAAGGAACAGACACAGCTACTTGTGCTTTCTCTCTGATTTAGGATTTTTAAAAATCAATATTTTTTTGTTTGACTTCCAGCAGCTAGTGGTGTAATAATCAGCTGTATCAGGGATGATACATGAACCCTCTGCATGAACTCTGTTAACCTCTTTTTTATAATGACGTAACCTGATTAATTTTCACACACTATATTATCTTTGAAGATAATATAGACAATGCCTATTGAAACAGAAATATACGATGTTGCTGTATGTGGGTGAAAAGCCTTCAAGGAAAGCTCAAGGAATAACTGATATATGACAACTACCCCCAGATGGTCCTCCAGGAAGGTGACAGAAGTTGCTGATCGATGAAGACAGCCAGACATGTGACAACCATCTAACCAGCCTGCAGATTCCTGGATCTACATGTAGGCTGGGAAGATGCCTGCTCACAGAGCCAGCAGCCTGCCTTTTCCATCCCACCCAGTGACAATATCACATATGCTGCCAGCTCATTGTTCAAAGTGAGCTCACAGCTGTATGGATGATGATTACCACATCTCAAAATTTGCCCACCAAAGGTGCAGTGGCTTTCCTTTTTTTAATGGCTCCAGGTGGTCATAATGTTCTGGCTGATCACTGTATATGTTCTGAAAGCAAAGACAAAATTCAGCCTCTCTGTCGTACAGATGTCATTATGCAACCAGGAAGCAAACATTTGTTTATGTTTTTTAGGGAGAGACAATTTTTTCTTTAATAAGCAACAGAGGTTTTAGGCACAAGGCAATTCCAGCCCCTGCGTAAGCCTCAAGATAATCACTGTTTTTTTTCTTTTAATTTCCTGTCTGGTGAAATTCCTCTTGCCAAGCGTTCTCATCAGCCTGAATGGACCTAACTGACACAGTGCTTTCGGGGAAGACTAACTGGATCAGCCAAGTGAGCTATCCCATTACTGCTCGATGACGTCTCTAGAGTAGGGAGTTGTCTCCAAACAAGCTCAAAGCTGTTGAGAAAAGGAGCCTTGCTTGTTTTACGGTGTTTAGCAATTTTGGCTTACGTTTCAAAGTTACAGTGATGGGAAAGAACAGCTGTGACAAAATGTACCCAGCCCTGCTCTCTCATGTGGTATGTGGGATAATAACTGTGTGGATCAGGAAGTCTTCTTATCGCAATTAGGTAACCTCACTTTCACCTGAGCTTGAGGGGAACGGGTCCACACACTAAATGCTGCATCTTCTTTAGATATCCAATAGCTACAATAACACTGCTTGCCTTAGAGTCTGTTACAGCACATGTCTCTTCAGAAAAAAAACAGACAGACACCGCTGCTGTGAGTTTTGACAGTCTGGACATGAACCATCACCACATCTAGACCCATGAAACAAAGATGGCTAATACTTACTCGACCACTTCCTTTCTGTAATGCAGGATGGACACTGATTGTGCATTGGCTATTGATGACTTCATAGTATACACAGACTTATCTCCGACCAAACATTTTGGCTGTTAATATGTTCATCTGCTGGACAACTACTTGTGATACAGACAAAAAGATCTTTTTAGGTCAGGAGTACAGGGAATGCTAATAGGATGTGTCAGTATTAAGTGAAGTATAAGCAATTTACGCATTATCATCCCTCAAAAATAGTAAGTTGCAGGCTGCATTTAGCTGATTACTTATAAAATTGCACACTTGAAGCTTAGATGCCATTTCTACAAATACCCAACAAGACTAGGTCGAAACCTAGTATATGACCGTGTGTGGTCAATGTGCTATATTGTGCCCAAATTATTACACAGATAGTCAATGGCAGTGCCTCTAATGTAAATATTAAATTTAAATCAGAAATTTTGTGTAGTGGTCCCAGTAATATTTGTTTGTACTTCAGTAGCATAACACGTGACATGGATAGTTTACGTTTAGTAAAAAAATGCTATAAATGCAGTTACAGAAACAATACTTTCCACATGTATGTAAGGTGTTTGATTTCAAAAAGAACTTGTTTTAATCATCTATTCACTCCCCCTGCTCTTTTATTCGTTTCTATTTGTGGGACGTCTTTTGTCTTTCTATGACTCACTCTGTATTGAGTGTTTTGTCAGAGTGATTATAATGTGAGTGCTTTAAATGTGTACATGCATTTCGATGCATAGAGAGCTTCCTACTCTGCTGTATGCTTGACTGTGTAACCATCGTCTCCGCTTCTAACAACACAAGGTTTAGTGCTGTTTTCCAGTTTTATTCCCTCAAGGTGAATATCAGGTATTGTACTGTCTTTGTGTCATATGTGCATATTGATATACTGTGATGCATTGCCAAAGTATGGAATGGTTATTGATTTCTCATCAAGTGGGTGTCTATTGTGTGTGTGGACCCAGTGGGGCTTGGACCATATCCTGCTGGACCTAGCCCCACAAGCAACAGCCTTAGAAGGTGAAGTTTTAACTAAATAACACAATAGTTACGTACCTTAACTCCAGATTCTACAGTAGAGCCGCAGCTCTCTAAACTGTGGTCCCCACTGGTTCCTTTAACTAGCTGAAGTAGTACGGTCTCAACTTATACACAACGCGAGACTGAGGTGGAACACAGGCATCGACATATAAAAGATGGGCGTTGCATCTTCACTTCCTCCCACTGTACAAAAATGAAACAAAATATCCTGGATACGGCCACTACCATCTTTCACCATTCAGAAATGTAGTACTGATACTACTAGTGAATTAAAACTAAACTGATTTGGACTGACTGACTGAAAAATGAACACTGAATGAACATAAGTGTAATAAGAACTACCTAAATGCTATTAAACTACTTTTGGGAAAACTTTGTTTCATTTTTTAGTTTGGCCAATGTCCCATCTTTTGACATGGCAGCAGGCTTTATGACCTATACTGCAGACACCAAGGGCCAACGTTTTGGCTGCACTTCCGCAGAACTCTCACGTCCATCTTTATGTTTGTCAAGGGGCCGATAAAGTAAGTGGGTGTATGTGAGCCTGAGTTTGGAATGAACCCACTAGAGATTGCCTCAGAGGGCTTCCATACTTTATTCAGGTACCCTGTAGTTGCCTGGTCTTTTGCTTAAGAAATATTCAATGGAGCACTAATTCTCTGTGCAAACACCAAATACCAAGTCACACAGTGTGAGAACAGGTGCACAAGGCGCAAAGTAGGAATGAAAAAGGCGAGAGGAGAAATCATTCACCATTATTTTTTAAAAAGAAGAAAGAAAAACAGGTCACCAATAGACACATGTTTGCAATGTGAATGTATTAATGCTGGGTTAAATATACAAAACAACCAAACAACAAGCATTTGCAACTACAACATTACATTATAAATCAATAAATAAAAACAATAAACAATGACTTACAGATGTGAAGGCCAGGAGTTCCTCTTCAGTCAGTTTGTGGACAGGGTTATTCTTCTGGAAGTCAGTGCTGCAAGACAACACTCTTGGTCAACAGTGTATACATTATGATAGATTCTCCAACCATGCTACAGGTTCTGTGAAGCTGAGGGATGTGGGAGGGGAGGCAGCATGAATGTCTATACCAGATTAATTTCATCGCACACCATCTGATACCAAATAACAAAACACAAAATAACGAATAACCAGCATGCGATTCATCAACCTGATTAGCATTTTAAGCATCAGCCAATGTCTGTGCTCATGAGGCTGATAAAAAAAAATTGTCAGTGTGGCTGCTGTGAAACGATGTTAGCACTCTCTCATATGAGTTTTGAGAAGGTTGTGAATCAGCCCTATAACAATAATGTTCATACATCCTGCTGTGAATATATGCCTGAATTTATATAAAATACATTTTATGAAATAGAATAAAATTATACATGATTTATCTTTGCTTTGATATCAGCATTATATATCAGACATCACCAGCTCTGCTGTCTAAATAGTGGTATTGACCATTGAAAAACCCATATCGGTCAACCACTAGAATTTATCCTCTATGGGCCTTGAACGTGTGTCCCATTTCATGGCCCCCATCCAACAGTTGTCAAGGTATTTCACTCTGAAAATCAACATTTGATCACAAAAAAACACAATATTTCATTCAAACAACAATCTGATAGGTCAATTTTTAGAATTAAAGATCAGTTATAAACCAGAAGATATACACCAATCTTTTGAAGAATACTATAAAAAGGAGCTATACTCTCTACCTACAACAGCGGAACCCTCTGTCATAAAAACCTTCTTGGGGGAAGGGTATGACGTCACTGAGCTGAGAGGTCGGACTGGCGCTGAGCTCCTGCTCCCATCAACCGTAATTTTAATTTTACCCACCACAGACTGGCATTTTTATATCT